CCCTTCTTCAGAAACCTTTCCTAGACCCTTTCTTCAGGAAAGTTGACACTTTGGGTTGGGATCCTTCTTCAGAAAAATTTACTTCACATGCATTGCCCTGGGTTATACTGGCATCCAGAAACTCCGACATCCTGCAGCTGTAACACATTACCTGCCATACCATATCAATATGAATTAATTCATTTGTATTTGCTAATTTGTTTGCAATTAATACAACCTACACCTTTTTAAAAATTCATTCACATTGATCTGGGTGTTGCTGTCTGGCCAACAGTTATTGCCCGTCCCTAGTTGCCCTTGGAGAAGGTGGTGATGAGCTGCCTTCTTGAACCATTGCAGTCCATGTGCTGTATGTTCACCCACAATGCCATTCGGGACGGAATTCCAGGATTTTGACCCAGCAACAGTGAAGGAATAGCGATATATTTCCAAGTCAGGATGGTGAGTGACTTGGAGGGGAACTTGGAGGGTGGCGGTATTCCCATATGCCTGCCGTCCTTGTCCTTCTGGATGGAAGTGGTCGTGGGTTTGGAAGGCGCTGTCTGAGGATCTTTGGTGAATTTCTGCAGTGCATCTTGCAGATAGTACACACTGCTGCTACTGAGCGTTGATGGTGGAGGGAGTGGATGTTTGTGGATGTGGTGCCAATCAAGTGGCTGCTTTGTCCTGGATGGTGTCAGAGCTTCTTGAGTGTTGTTGGGGCTGCACCCATCCAGGCAAGTGGGGAGTATTCCATCACACTCCTGACTTGTGCCTTGTAGATGGTGGACAGGCTTTGGGGAGTCAGGAGGTGAGTTACTCGCCACAGTATTCCCAGCTTCTGGCCTGATCTTGTAGCCGCTGTGTTAATGTGGTGAGTCCAGTTGAGTTTCTGGTCAATGGTAACCCCCAGGATATTGATAGTGAAGGATTCAGTGATGGTAATAAAATCCTTTACTGTTACTTATCAAGGGATAACAGTTAGATTGTCTCTTATTGACAATGATCATTGCTTGATATTTATGTGACATGAATGTTACTTACCACTTTTGAGCCCAACTGGATATTGTGCAGACCTTACTGCATTTGGAGATGGACTGTTTCACTATCTGAGGGGTCATGAATGGTGCTGAACATTATACAATCATCCGTGAACATCACCACGTCTGACCTTATGTTGGAGAGACCTTTTCTCTCCTCTCCTCATAGAGTCATAGAGATGTACAGCATGGAAACAGATCCTTTGGTCCAACTCATCCATGCCAACCAGATATCCTAAATAAAACCAGTCCCATTTGCCAGGATTTAGCCTATATTATTCTAAACCCTTCCTATTCATATACCCATCCAGATGTCTTTTAAATTTTGTAATTGTACCAGCCTCCACCTCTTCCTCTGGCAGCTTGTTCCATACATGTACCAACCTCTACGTGAAAAAGTTGCTCCTTATGTCCCTTTTAAATCTTTCCCCTCTAGTGTTGGACTCTGTGTCACTCTGGGGAGAAGACCTTGTCTATCCACCCTATCCATGCCCCCCGATGTTACTTATAGATTTTATAAACATCTATAAGGTCACCCCTCAGCCTCTGATGCTCCAGGGAAAATAGCCCCAGCCTATTCAGCCTCTCCCTATAGCTCAAACCCTCCAAACCCTGGCAACATCCTTGTAAATGTTTTCTGAACCCTTTCAAGTTTTGCAACATTTTTCTTAAAGCAGGGAAACCAGAATTGAATGCAGTATGTCAAGAGTGGCCTAGTCAATGTCCTGTACAGCCGCAACATGACCTCCCAACTCCTGTACTCAATGCATTGACCAATAAAGGCAAGCGTACCAAACGCCTTCTTCACTATCCTGTCTACCTGGGACTCCACTTTCAAAGAACCCTCATGCTGTTTCTGGGCTCTCTCACAGTCAGACAGGTTCTAAATTCACAAAAAGCACTGGGTATGCAGCAGTCACCCATTCTAGGAGCATGGAAAATGCATTATGCTTTATACATGTGGCTTCTGAACAGATGCCAGCCATTGCAGTATCAGTATTAGTCAATATGGTGTGAGGAAATTAAGTGTGATTCAGAGTGTTATTTAGAATACACGATTGAAATGAATACAAATGTGGCTAATTCGCAGGTTTGATGAGTGTTCATTTCAAACCTGCAGCAGATGTAGTTTGTAGTTTGTGCAGATTATATAAAAACAATGTTTTTCTTTAATCATCTTGTTCAGACGTGTAACAACACACCTCTGGGATAGATGGAACATGCGTATAAATCCTACTGGCCCAGGGTGGGGACAGTACCCAATGTTACAAAAATCCTTTACCATATTTTGACTGGGCCAGCTGCATAGAAATTGTTCTGTAATGTATAATAGTGTACACCATGATTGTAAATATTACATTCTATGCTTACTTTGAACTGAAGCTGAGTGAAATGACGTCACCTATCCAAACAGCCTCGGATGCACCTGTACCCCCAGTCACCCCTGCAGATGTTAGATCCGCCTCCTAGAGAATGAAGCCATGGAAAGCCCAATCAGCCTAGATGGAGCCTCCGGCCATGCACTCAGATCCTATGCAGACCTGCTGGCGGGAGTATTCACAGACATCTTTAACTTCTCCTTACTGCGGTTTGAAGTCCTGACCTGCTTCAAGAACACCACCATCATCCTGAAGCCAAATAACAATCATGCAGCGTGCCTCAAAGACTACTGCCTGGTGGCTCTGACCTCCATCATTATAAAGTGCTTCAAGAGGTTAATCACGGCAGGGAGGCAATGGCCAGGTGGTATAATCGTTAGACTGTTAGTCCAGAGACCCAGATAATGTTCTGGGGACCCGGGTTCAAATCCCACCATGGCAAAGCGTGGAATTTGAATTCAATACAAAAAAAAATCTGGAATTAAGAATCTAATGATGACCATGAACCCATTGTTGATTGTAGGGGAAAAGGCCATCTGGTTCACTAACGTCCTTTACGGAAGGAAGCTGCCATCCTTACCTGGTCTGGCCTATATGTGACTCCAGACCCACAGCAATGTGGCTGACTCTGAGCAGCCCTCTGGGCAATTGGGGATGGACAATAAATGCTGCCCAGCCAGCGATATCCTCATCCTGTTAATGAATAAAGGAAAAAGAAATCACATGATCTCCAGCCTACCAAATTGCCTTGATCCTTCGCAATTCACCTACCTTTGCAACAGGTCCATGGCAGATGCCATCTCCCTGGCCCTACACTCATCCCAAGAACATCTGGATAACAAGGATACCTGCAACAGGCTCCTACTGATTGACTACAGTTCTGCCTTCAACACCATAATTCCAAAAAAACTCATCTCTAAACTCAGAGACCTAGGTCTCAGCTCCCCCCGCACCGCTGCCTCTGTAACTGGATCCTTGACTTCCTGACCAACAGACCGTGATCAGTAAGGATAGGCAACAAAACATTCTCCATCGCAATCCCTAGTCACCCTACGATACATCAAGGACATTTCAGATATGACCACAAGACTATTCAGACCCCTAGGTATCAGGGTAGCTCTTAAACCGATAACCACCCAATGACAGCTACTGATGAACATAAAGGATACCATACCCACAACCAGCAAAACCGGTGTAGTATACAAAATACCATGCAAGGACTGTGAGGAACATTACACAGGCCAAACTGGAAGAAAACTGACAATAAAGATACACAAACACCAACTAGCCACCAAGAGACATGACCAATTCTCACTGGTCTCAATACACACAGATGAAGGACATGAATTCGACTGGGATAACACATCGATAATCGCACAAGCCAAACAGAGACACACCAGGGAATTGCTGGAGGCCTGGAATTCCAACTGAAACTCCATCAACAAACACATTAAATTAGACCCTGTGTACAAACCACTGAGAAACAGAACCGGAAGTGGTACCAACCACCCCAGCAAACCGAGGCATCTAAATAACAAGCTTCAGCGGAGGTGCACTGACGATGTTACCTAGCAGGGTGACGAAACATTTGCAACCAAACACACCGACTCGGTGAGCAAGTCTACAACCTCAACCACAACCCAAGCTACAAATCTTCTCAAAAACTTTGAACCAGATGGTATTTTCCCCCCAACAATGGTTTCATGGTCATCCTGAAACTCTTAGATTTTCATTGAATATCTACAATGAGGATTCAAACCTGTGACTCATTACCTGAGTCTCCAAATTCATAGTCTAATGATAATACCACTAGGTCATTGCTTCTCCTCAAACAGAACTGCAAACAGAAATACTCGTCACATCAAATTTCACTCTCTTCCATGCAAACCAATTGCTGTTAACCAGTTTAACACATCACACCACTGTTGTAGTTTTGAGAGAGGGATTTGATCCAATATCATTAAGTGTTCCAAAGATGCATCACTAACAATAATTTCCACTCTTGTCAGTAGAATTAATTAATTTTCAGGATACTACTACAAGCATTTCAAATGTTTAAAAAATTTGAACCTGTACTATTTCTCCCTTAGATCACGGTAAAATAATGAAGGATGTTCTCCTTATTAAAAGTTGGGCTTTGAAATGAAAAATACATGGACTTTTTATTTAAGATTGTCTTAACAGAAACCTGTTTGTTGTCACATGAAACAAACAAGAAATTCAGTCAAAGATAAAAAGATTATTACTGAAAAAAATTGTACAAAAACAATCTTCTTTGATATTTTGCCTTGGCAAAAGTTGAAATATTTAAACACCGTTAAATAATATAGCAATCATCTCACTGTTAAAAGGGTGTTTGGTGAGAGGAATCTGAAAAGACTGTTGCAGTTTGATTACAGAAGTGGCTAAGATTGGTGTAAAATGCATGGATGCATGTGATGAGAAAGTCACTTGGAAACATAACTAATTTCGAACAGACAGTCCTTCTCGTAAAACAGCAGCCTGCTTGCAATGTTGCTTTGAATGCATACTTCTTTGAAATTATGAATATGAGTTTCAGTATTGGGTGGTGCAAGTTAAAATGGACCAAACACATTCAATGTAGCATTGACAATGGCTTTTATTTCATTCACATGAAGCAGATGAAGAACACAACAAGCAATCAAACTTGACCACGGTGAGAACTGGCAATGCTTTGCAGCAAACTGAAGACAGAGATGCCTTTGGCACACACACTGGGCAAACAAGTTAGTCTGACATAAACAGAACCATTGCCCCAAGTAAGATTTAAGGCAAAATGGAACTGGATCTTTTAGAATTATTCATTAATGCAAGGTCTATGCTATGTCAAAGGAGGTTGCGGAATGCAAACGGAGGAGACTGTTTAAGGCATGCAAGTTGCCAAGCGTTATATTCCAAAACTGGTGCTGTGAAATATTAACTAGCAATTTTTTAAATTTGTTGGAGAGAGAAGGAAGCTGCCTACAGAATCAAAATTAAGAAAACCTAATCCTCACTAATAAAACATTCACCTGCAGTATTGAAATAAAAATTGTAATAATTCTCTTATATGATTAAATTCACCCTTTTAACATCTGAATATATATATACATACACAAACATATATATATATCCTCGTCAGAATTTCTAAGCAGTTCATTCAAAGAAAACGAAGTTATACATAGTTTTAATCACAAGGTGGCAGTAATAGTCTACTTGATCCCAGCCTTACAAAACAGAGCGTTCAGAGCAGAGTGGAAGAGAAGGGTTTAGAAGAACTAATGTAAAGATTGTAATTTCAGAATAGGTTCAGTTATATAGTAATCACATTATTGCCAATCTAAAGAAATATCCCTTTCTTGTTAAAAAACAAAGGAGCTCCATATTTCAAGCGCATTTGTTGAGAAGGATGGAGCAGCAAGTAAGGCCTCCATCAACTTTGGCCAGTTCAGTGTTGGAGATTGGAATCAATGTGTAGTCCTTCAGTTTCTCAAATTCCTGGGAGGACAAAAAAGAGGTAAACGTGTTTAAAATCTTCTCCAACTCACAGGTTGCCATTTGTATCGCTGAGACTTTTTGTCTTGCACCAATCAGGACTAACACAAGAATGCCAAATTACAAATTTCCCAACAGAGCCAAAGCTAACAGAGAGCTTCAAAAAGACCAGAAGCTGGAAGTGCTTCAACCCTCCCGAGTCTCTACAGTGACGTCTCAACACTTGGTCAGGGTGATCTACTCGTTCTATGAAAACAGTCAACAACAGGTTTTGAGAAATATATCTTTATTCAAAGTGACAAGTTTGAAGGTATGCCAAACAAATCAGTGGAAAGAAAAGTGCTCAGGTGAAGGGGAAGTGATGGCTTCTCAGGGGACTGTTAATCCAGAGAACCAGATAATGTTCCTGGGTTCAAATCCTGCCACGGCAGATGGTGGAATTTGAATTTAATAAATATTAAGAGTCTAATGATGACTGTGAATTGATTGACAGGAAAAACCCAGCTGGTTCACTAACGTCCTTTAGGGAAGGAAAGTGCCATCCTTACCTGGATGTGGTTGACTCTCAACTGCCCTATGGGCAATAAATGCTGCTGGACCTGAAACATTAACTGATTTCTCTTCACAGATGCTGCCAGACCTGCTGAGCTTTTCCAGCAACTTCTGTTTTTGCAGCATCCGCAGTTCTTTTGATTTTGGAGAAGAGTTAATGTACAGGAAGGATGACTTGCGAGCAGCTAAATGGTTGCTCACCATCTCTAAATTTTTTTCACGTTTGGCTGAGTCGCATCTAGGAATTCTCACAAATTCTAATTTCACTTATATTTGCATTGCAAGCCTACATGCCATGCAAAACAAAAAGATAGCAATAACATCAATTTCATTCCCATCACTACAATATCTCAATATCATTCTTGTCACCCGATGTTCCTTGGTCTGTTTGATGACATAGGGTTCAAAAAAAGAAATTGAGCGAATTCTCACAAAGAAAAGTTTTTAAAGTTATTCAAAGCTGCCATTGAGTTAAGATGCAAACATATAAATACAGAAAGTAAATGGCGTGTTTGACAGTGTTTTTAAAAAATGCCAAGCGAGACAAAAATAGTTTCCTTCTTACAGAATAGAGATAACACAGTGTGGAGCTGGAGGAACACAGCAGGCCAGGCAGCATCAGAGGAACAAGGACCCTTCAACCCTTCAGCTAGCTGACTCCAGCTCCTCACTGTGTTATCTCTGACTCCAGCATTGGCAGTTCTTACTAGGTCATGACTGCTGTGTAACTTAATTCTTCTTTGTATTTATTCAGTGGCAACACAGTCAATAATAACTTTCTAAAGGATTGAGTTAAACTCTCGACATTGAACAATGTACAGGGATGAGGTACAGGAGCAAGGGGCTGGGAATGGTTGGAGAGCACTTGCATCTAAAGAAATCACAGGCCTCTTTCAGTCCTGTAGATTTCATGATTTTAACTTGATAGCACAGACTTGTCCCGGATTGCAGCTTTTTAATAATAACAAGGAAACTTAAGAACCAAAACACACTGAGGAAGGGTCACTGGACCCGAAACATTAACTCTGATTTTTTCTTCACAGATGCTGCCAGACCTGCTGAGCTTTTCCAGCAACTTCTGTTTTTGTTCCTGATTTACAGCATCCACAGTTCTTTTGGTTTTTAAACTTAGGAACCATTTTGTTCCCCGTACTTGAGGAGGGATATATTGTATTGCAGGCAATTCATAGCAGGTTCACTAAATTGATTCAAGAGATGAGGGGTTTGTCTGAAGAAGAGAGATTGAACAGTTTAGGCCAAAACACAGTGGAGTTTAAAAGAATGAGAAGAGATCTAATTGAAGTATGTCAGATGCTAAAGGGGATCCATAAAGTAGATATAGTGAGGATTTTTCCTCATGTGGGGCAATCTAGAACAACAGTTCACAGTTTTAGGATAAGGGGTGGTACATTTAAATCAGAGATGAGGAGAAATTATTTCTCTCCGAGGATCGTGAATCTGTGGAATTCAATCCCCAGAGTATGGTGGATGCTGGGACACTAAGGAAATTTAAGGAGGAGATTTTTAATTAGTAATGGGTTGAAGGGTTATGGAGAGTGGGCAGGAAAGTGCGGGTGAGACTGAGATGAGATCAGCCTTGACTGTTTCAAATGGTGGAACAGGCTCCAGGGGGTGAGTGGTCTACTGCTGTTCTGAGCTCATTTTTTTATTCATTCATGGGATGTGGGAGTTGCTGGCTGCGCCAGCATTCATTTCCCATCCCTAATTGCCCAGTGGGCTGTTGAGAGTCAGACCAGGTAAGGGTGTCCCTAAAGGGCATTAGTGAACAAGATGGGTTTTTATGATAATCAATAGCAGTTTCATGGTCATCAATAGATTCTTAATGCCTGACATTTTAATTTATTCAATTTGAATGTCACCATCGGCCTAGCCCGAAACGTCAGCCTTCCTGCTCCTGTGATGCTGCTTGGCCTGCTGTGCTTGTTCTGGATTAATAGTCTAGCGATAATACCACAAGGTTCTTATGTAACAGCAAGTTATTGTAAAATCTCCTTTTGTGAGCAGAAGTTCTTTAAAAAGTTCACCAAAGTGACAGCAACGTTCGGTTTACCTTAGCGCTTGCTGGAAACTCATTAGCAGTTCGGTGCAGCAGAACATGCCCCTTCTCTGGAATGTTTAGGTAAACACAGTTTGCAGCTTCATCATCTGGCAACGTAAGCTTGTTGTAACTGTGCTCACTCATCTCCTGCATTTGCTGTTGAGTAAAGAAAGTCCGTCAGACTCAGTGAACCAGCCACAGTAGAGCCATAGTTAACTGGCTTAAATTAGCAGTGACACCGCTTCCTTTATTTTATGATCTGGTAGGAGCAGGATAAAACTTTCCAACCTGTTCCACAATGTCATTTGTTCATGAACTGATCATTGGTCCAACTAGAGACAGTCAGCTCCAGTTACTCTTCACTATACAGAGAACCAGGTAAAAAAAATGTGTCCACTTTGGTCATTACACTCTGAAATATTCAGTCACAGATTATGAAGGATTCACAGCACAGAAACAGGCCATTTGGCCCAAAAGATCTGTGCCAGTCTCTTTGCTCTGTGTGAATCTCCTCTCTCTTTGTCTTTATCACACTATCAGCACATTCCTCTGTTCTTTATCACTTGCATGTTTATCTGACTTTCCCTTAAATGTATCTCTACTATTCATTTAGCTGAACTATTTCTTGTGGTAGTGAGTTCCACATTCTCACCACTGTCTGTAAACAATGTTTCTCCTTTATTAGTTAATGGTTTTATTAATGGCTCTTGGAGCTGGCCTCACTCTACCAGAAAGAATGAACCTGTGAGTTTTTTTTTCTATTGATTCACAGGATGTGGGTATCACTAGGCAGTGTTTATTGCCCATACCTAATTGCCCAGAGTACTGTGGGTCTGGAGTCACATGTAGGCCAGACCAGGTAAGGATGGCAGTGTCCTTCCCTAAAGGACATTAGGGAACCAGATGGGTTTTTCTAGCAACTGACAATGGATTCATGGTCATCATCAGACTCTTAATTCCAGACTTTTATTGAATTCAAATTCCACCATCTGCTGGGGTGGGATTCAGACCTGGATTCCTGGAATTATATCTGGGTCACTGAAATAACAGTCCAGTGATAATATCGTTGGGACTTCGTCTCCCCTTGAGTCGCAACTCAAGTTTGAAACTTCAACAGTGTTTCTTTCTACTACCATTCTGACTTGGAACTATATTATTAGACCTTCAGTGTCGTTGGGTCAAAATCCCTGATCTTCCTCCTCTACAGCTTTGGGGATGTTACAACACCCTAACAACTGCAGCAGTTCAACTTGAGAGCTGTACATCACCTTCTCCAGGGTAATTAGGGATGGACGATAAATATAACCCAGCCAGCGACTCCCACATTTGTCCAATAAATAAAAGAACTCACCCACTTTTATGTTTTATTTCTCTAATATTTTTCTGTACCTTCCTTCACACTGTTATGGCTACACTGCTGATCTTCACCCACTCAGGAGCTTTTATTGACAGAGACACACATTAGGAGCTGACACCCCCAAACTGTAACACCTACAATTTCAGTAACAGAAAAGCAAAATACTGCAGATGCTGGAAATTTGAAATAAAAACAGAAAACGCGAGAAATGCCCGATGGATCTGGTGAGATCTGTGGAGAGAGAAATAGATTTAATATTTTGAGTCCCGTGACTCTTCTTCATAACCAAATGGTGGCAATGGATTTAGCCGATCGAAAGGATGGCGTGGGAAACAAAGGGGAGGACTCAGATAGCGATGAGGGCAGGAGAGATTACATTACATTAAAGATATCATAGAACAAAATGCACAGGGAGCAGTGACAGCTTTAGCAACGAAACAAAGCATTGATCCAGTGTATGTGTTAATACAGAACAATGAACAACTGTGTCTGACAGTAACACATATGGAGACAAGATTCAAACCGTTAAGTGGCCACCATTCATTGCCTCAAATTGTTGAACTCAATTTTGAAGTGATTTCCATATTTTAGATGTTGATAATTCCAAATAATATGCCTCCAATGTCAAGATTATTTAGCTTGTCAATTGTTTTTATTTATATTTTTACCTCACCAATAACATTGCATCCTCTCATTCTTCACCACTGTTACATTTCACCTAAATAATTCACAGCTCTTATTGTTCCTAGAAAGAATAATAATTTTTTATAACGGAATCCCTACAGGCCTTCTGACCTCTTACCCAGAAACATTCTCCTGCTATATCCCTGCATTTCCCACAGCTAACACACCTGGACACTTTAGCATGGCCAATCCACCAAACCTGCACATCTTTGGACTGTGGGAGGAAACCGGAGCAAACCCACGCAGACACAGGGAGAATGTACAAACTCCATACATTCAGTCGCCCGAGGGTGGAATCGAACCTGGGTCCCTGGCGCTGTGAGGCAGCAGAGCTAACCACTGAGCCACCATGAGTTATTTGTTTAAAGCCACTGCCAAGTCTTCATTTTCCATAGAATCATAGAATCCCCAGCGTGTGGAAACAGGCCATTCAGCCCATTGAGTCCACACTGACCCTCCAAAGGGCATCCCACCCAGACCCAACCCCTACCCCTATCTCTGTAACCCTGCATTCCCATGGCTAACTCACCTAACCTACACAACCCTGGACACTATGGGCAACTTAACATGGCCAATCCACCCAACCTGTCCATCTTTGGACTGTGGGAGGAAACCCACGCAGACGCAGGGAGAATGTGCGAACTCCACACAGACAGACAAATAATTTTTGTCTCTCGGGATGAGTAGCAGTCTATCTCTCTTGAATGATTGTTCACTCAGCGTATTCGGGATGCTGTTACCATCCTGGAGTGAATGAAGGGAGATTCACAGAGGCTGGGATTGGAAAACTGGTGCGGGGGAAATTCTCTCAGGAAGTTTTTTGTTTGCTTATGAGCTGTGTCAATATAGCACCAGCTCATTGGCGCGGAGCAAATCTTGCTGAGCTCTTCAGTGGAATGTATTTATGGCTGGGATACTGGCTCAAATTCCTAGCTCAACATTGCAAGAATCTGCCAATTCGTCTGGTTAGGAAAGATATTGAAATTGTGGACATTTTTGTCTTTAAAATGTGTTCATGCATTCATTCACAGAATATAGGCATTGCTGACTGGGTCATCATTTGTTGCCTATCCCTAATTGCTCAGGAGAAAGAGATGGTGACTTGCCTACTTGCATATAGTTAAGCAGCTTGCTGGGTCATTTCGGAGGGCATTGCTGTGGGCAGGAGTCACGCGTAGGCCAGGCTAGGGTATGGGTGGCAGATTTCTCTCCCTGAGCCAGAAGGGTTTTTACTGCGAGCCACCATGACAGAAACCGTAGCTGGACATTACATGCCCCACACAAGGAGTGTTTCTGCTGGGTTGTAGGGAACTGGCAACTCACTGATCACACAGAAAGAAATCACTAAGGGTCAACTGAGCTGGTTAAAGGGCCCAATCTGTGGGCTCAGTTGGCTGGATGGCTGGTTAGCAACGTAGAATGATACCAACAGCATGGGTTCAATCCCCACACAGGCTGAGGTTACTGTGAAGGACTCTCCTTCTCAACCTCTCCCCTTGCCTGAGGCGTGGTGACCCTCAGGTTAAACCACCACCAGTCTCTAATGAGAAGTGGCCCACCAAGCTTTTTGTTTTATTCATTAACAGGATGAGGGGCATCGTTGGCTAGGCAGCATTTATTGCCCATTCCTAATTGCCTAGAGGATGGGTGAGAGTCAACCACATTGCTGTGGGTCTGGAGTCACATCTAGGACAGACCAGGTAAGGATGGCAACAAGGTGTAGAGCTGGATGAACACAGCAGGCCAAGCAGCATCATAGGATGGCAGTTTCCTTCCCTAAAGGGCATTAGTGAACCAGATGGGTTTTTTCAACAGTCGACAATAGAGTCACGGTCATCATTAGACTTGTAATTCCAGATATTTACTGAATTCAAATTCCACCATCTGCCGTGGTGGGATTCAAACCTGGGTCCCTACATCTGGGTCTCTGGATTAACAGTCCAGCGATAATCCCACTAGGCCATTGGCAATGTTACCTTACTAACTGAAATATTGTCTCGCCTTGCCCTTACCCTAATATGGTGACTGTGGGCAGGCCAATTCCTTTTCTAAGATGTGCTGTCACATTTGGAGCATGCTTCAGGTCTAGAAGGTAGCACTCCTCATTAGCCCGTCGCTGCCTATACTTCAAAATCCAACCCCTCAACCCCACTGTGGCGCACAAGTCCTTCCGCCCCAGAGACACCCCCAGCCACCCCACCCCTGGACTTACTTGGGTCCCATCAATCCCAGCAGTGCCCACTACAGACATCCAACATCACCAGCGGACAGGGCTGGTTCTTATGTTACATTGTTCCTGTATGTCCCTGGGTCAGTAACACTGCGATAATGCGAAGGTAACTTTCACTGCTTGAGGAAGTGAAGCCATTTTTGTCCCTATGTCTGTATGACATCACTAATAGTGTGGAGCACTCCTCAGCATTAACCCTTTCAGCATCTTTCAGCCTCATGCAACTCAGTTCCCACATCATCGACTTTTCTTTGTGCAACAATGAGTCATAACAGCCTTCTCAAGGCAGGCCAAGAGACAGCACTTTAGATAGAACTCCAAAAAGACCGCTGAGATAACAACAGCAAAAGAAAAAGACAGAGAGAGAGAGAGAGAGAGAGAGAGAGAGA